AGGTCTTCTTTCTTGAGTTCATCAATGACCCACTACATATTCAAGACTGGTACTCGTGGTGGCCTGTAGTCCCAGCATGTGGAAACTGAGTCGGGAGAAATGCTGCCTGTTAAGTTCTCGGGCAGACTGGGCTACAGAGAAGACTTTGCCTCCAAAAAGAGTGTATATTGCTCTTGCCTTGATGCTTATTCCTAGTTTTACTTCATTGTGATCTGATAGAATAAAAAGAAATTACTTTGATTCTGTTGTATTTCTTAAGATTTGTGGCCTAGAAAATGGTGTTTTAAAGAAATTCTATGAGCTACTGAGAAGAAAATGTATTCCACAGATGTTAAAGAAATATCTATAGATGTTTCTAAAGTTCATTTGATCTATGGTGCCTTTTAACTCTGAAGCTTCATGCTTTTTAGTCTGGATGATCTCTCTACTGATGAGAGTTGGGTTGATTAAAGTCACCCACTGTTATTATATCTGTGCCTATATGTTCCCTTTATACTAATAAGGGTGAAGAGATGCCCCACCCATTAAGAACACTTGCTGTATAACCATCAGGACCAGAGTTCTGATCCCCAAACCCAGGTAACAAACCAGACATCTAGCCCATGCCTTTAACCCTAGCTCAGACAGGAGGGTCACTGGGGTTTGCTGGTTCTCTACTAGATAAGAAAACACAAGATCCAAGTTCAGGGAGAGACTCTTGGTGAAATTATTAAGGCCACTCCACGTAGTTAAAAGGAGATTTATTTAATGGCGTAACTTACAAGTTAAGGGATAGGTAGGTCGCTGGGTCTGGGGAAGGTGTATCGCAGTCCAGCGGTGTTCTCTGGAGCTCTCCTTGGCCCACCTTCACCGTCCAAGGTCCCGGACCCGAGTGAGTGCGCCGCCCATCCAGATCTCAGGTCTCCAGGCGCATCCCTTGGCCCCGCCTTGTAGGCGTGACAGTTGCCGAAGTCTCAATGGGGGTTGGAACTTCCAGATCAAAGCTGGAATGGCTACCCACTACATCTCCCCCTTTTTGTCTAAATAAGAAGGTTCTAACCTAATTCAAGACTATATACAAAGGAATGGTTATCAAATATTGTCCAGGAATAATGAGGGATAATGACCTAGATAAGATGGAACTACAACCAATGCAAACAATATCAAGCAAGAAACACATACTAAAATCCAGAGAAGTATAGAGCATAGGTAAATGGCATGTTACAAAGATCATTCCAAAAGGTGTCCTATCCGAAAGAACCTGAATCTAATACTTAATATGTTCTATCTACTAAGTTGTAACTATAACTGCTAGTCTTCAATCCCATCAAAGACCTGAGAAGGAATATAATGGTACCTGAGAAATGGTAGATGGATGCAAGCAACTTTTGGGAATCTTGCAAGAGTAGACCGAGACAGCTGGTAGCCTGGACAGTCACATAATGTTTCTCAGCATTGGTGGTGCATTCAAATTGGCTACAGGCCTAAAGTATCTGACAGACCATTTTCCGAAGCAGGAATTCTGAAAGACCATCTTACCCTGTCTTGGCAGAGTACAGTGGTCGCTTTCCTTGTGTCCCGCTTGTCCAGAAAGGACAGCATTGCATTTGTACTGTCAGCTGTTGAGGCAAGGGCAGTTCTTTGCCCAGTAGGCCATTTTGTGCCAAGAAGACAAACTTCCAAATGGAAATGTCTTAGAAGCCCAACATTCTCTCGGGATCAAATTGGTGCAGCCAGGAGCAAATTGTGTCTCACGTCAACAGAATTCTAAGTTATTTAAATGCCATTTTCTCTAGGTCTATGAAGTGTTTGAAGATTACCTGTCCATCTGATCTATGTATCTGTAAATCTGGATAACCTAACTAACATAACTATAGAGATGACAAGCATAGGTGACTATAAATCTATAAGTCTTATCTACCGAAATAACCTAAGGACTAAGGCTTCACGTAAACAAGGTAAACAGTCTATAAGTAAGTGTATGGTAAAGAACGATGACTTCAAAATTGTGACAATACACATGTTATAACAGAGGTAGGAGTATATAGTGCAATATGCAATATGACAATAATCTTAAATATATATCAATATTTATAACAGAGGTAGGAGTATGTAGTGTGATATGCAATATGACAATAATCTTAAATATATATCAATATACCGAATATCCTAAACAGAAGTAGAACATACATAAAGTATGACAGATATAAATTTACATTTGTATCAATATACAAATATTTCAAATAAGAGTAGAAATATATGTACATTATAACAAATATAGTTCTGTATTTGTATCAATATACAAATTATCTTAAACAGGAATATAAAAATAGTTTACATTTGTATCAACATATAAAAATCCATTACAGTGCAAATTATTTAAGGCTGCTATTTTACTAAATTTGTTTACTAGTATACACAATAATCTACCATAATATCTTATACCTATCCATTCCATTTCTTCTTTTTCCCTTTTTCTCTTTTTTTTTTTTTTAGAATACTGAGTTTAATATTTTCTTCCACCCCCAACCCTATAACCATCATCCATAACCCTGAGAATTATGAAACCTAAGGGAGAAGGGGCGTCGTTTTCTTAGAATTGCTTCCTGCTGTTTAGGGGGTGATGTTATCTCTGTTGGGTACTGTGAGAAAGCTCAGATAGTTAAATCTCAGACTAACTGTAGGTTCTGCAGCAAGTCTTAGAGTAATGGGTAAGATTGTCTGAAATTCTGGTAAGAAGTGTAGTATGATGATTACCATTGTATCATTTTGGATTGGGTAGAGTTGTTGTTGGGGCCCCATCTTCCTTCTGGAGACTTCTGAGATTGCTATTAGAAAAACTTATTTGTTATCAAAATGGAAGATTTGGATTTAAAGAGGACATAGCATGTAAGAAAGGATTCTGAGAAATCAAGAGTAAGCATGGAGAGAATTAGAATCTAGAAGACAATGGTCCCTTTTTATTGGTTTCCTTCTGAACCACACCAGAGGGCTCTTCTGATATGGGACTGAAGAATCTCTCAAACTTTTCTTTTAGCAATGTACTTGGGTTTAGAGAAGGAGTGAGCCAATTCCATCTCCAAAGCCAGCTTGGCTTATAATTGAATTGGAACCACAACTTTTCTAGATTGATAGAGAGATAGATGTTAGACAGTGAGATTTTACCGTGTGTAGATAGATTCTTTCTTTCTGCTATAAACATCCGGATATCCAAGGCCTTGTGATTTTTGGAAGATGGGTACTTCCATTATCCTGGAAAGACAAAAACAGAACCCTACCCCAACCTTTGATTGTTAAATTTTTCTTACAACTTGTAGAGATGTCACATTGGTGGATGATCTTTTACTTCTCCTCGTCAAGGGGTTTTTCCTGTTCGAATCGAATTTTTATTAATTTTGTTGGTATCCATAGCTTTTCTTCTCCTGCAGAAACAAAGGCAAAACTCCTTCCCCAACGTAGAACATATCCAGGTTTCCATTCTGAGGTCAGCACATCCTTGAAATAAACTGGTTGGTTTAGCTCAGGAGTTTTGTCTGTCGTCCAATGTCTCTCCGCAGCTGTTGTTCCTTTCTCATCAGCATTGAGAAAATTCAAGGTTAATAAAGCACTATGCAATCTATTTCTAGGAGTCATTGTTACCTGTTGCTGTTTATTTAGTATATCCTTTAAAGTTCGATTGGATCTTTCTATGACTGCTTGGCCTGTGGGATTGTGTGGTATACCTGTAGCATGCTTTATATTGTAATAAGCAAAGAATTGTCTCATTTTATTGGAGACATATGCTGGGGCATTGTCTGTCTTAATTTGTACAGGTATTCCCATGATGGCCATAACTTCTAATAGGTGTGTGATCACAGAATCAGCCTTTTCAGAACTCATAGGAGTTGCCCATTGAAATCCTGAATAGGTGTCAATGGTATGATGTACATACTTTAATCTTCCAAATTCTGCAAAATGAAACACATCCATCTGCCAAATTTCATTTCTTTGTATACCTTTTGGATTGCTCCCTGCAGGTAATGGAAGTTGGTTATAGATGGAATAAGTAGGACATTTTTTCACAATATCCTTAGCCTGTTGCCAAGTGATGGAGAAATCCTTCTTCAAACCTTTGCTATTTACATGGTATTTCTTATGAAATTCTGAAGCTTCTAGCACATTACCTATTAGTAACTGATCAATCTCATCATTACCTTGTGCTAGAGGTCCTGGCAGACCTGTATGGGATCTGATATGTGTTATATATATAGGATGTTCCCTTTTTCTGATGATTTCCTGCAATTGTATGAATAATGAAGTTAATTCTGTATTATCAGGAATAAATTCAGCAGTTTCAATATGTAGAACAACTCTCTCTGCATATTGAGAGTCAGTGACTATATTGAGGGGTTCTGTGAAGTCCATCAGTACCATAAGAATGGCACACAGTTCTGCCTTTTGTACAGAGCTATATGGACTTTGTACCACTTTACTTAAGTCTCCTGATTTATATCCTGCTTTCCCTGATTTATTTGCATCAGTATAGAATGTGAGGACTCCAGAAATTGGCTTTTGTCGTACAATGTGAGGAAGGACCCATTCGGTCTTCTTTATGAATTCTATTCTCTGCTTTTGGGATAGTGGTTGTTAATCTCTCCCAAAAAGTTACTGCAGGCTCTCTGCCAGTATTCATTATCTTTCCATAGTGATGAAATTTCTTCATTAGTTAAAGGTACTACAATTTCTGCTGGGTCCATTCCTGTCAACTGGTGAAGTCTTAGTTTACCTTTTTGAATCAAATCAGAGATCTTTTCTATATAAGTCTTTAATTTCTTATTTGGTTTACGTGGTAGGAATATCCATTCCAATATAATATCTTCCCTCTGCATCAAAATACCTGTTGGAGAATGTCTGGAGGGGAATATGACAAGAATGCATTTAAGTTCTGGATCCACATGATCCACATGTGCTTCTCAAATTGGCTATCCTATTAATGTTTTAGCCCATTTTAATGGCTTCATCTTTATTTCTTTTGCCCTCTTTATAGCCTAAGGAAAATGACAGATGTTGTAGCTGTTTGGGATGTTATATTAAGTGATGGAATCCACAAGATTGAATTTGAACATGGGACCACATCAGGAAAACGAGTTGTATATGTGGATGGGAAGGTAGGGAAACATAATGTGACTTTGTAAAATGTGCTACAGAGAGCTCATCCTCCTCCTGCTCTCCTTTTCTCCCTTTTCCCTCTCTCTTTGAGACAGGATCTCTCTATGGCTGTCCTACCACTTGCTATATAGACAGGACTGGTCTAGACCTCATAGACAGCCTCCTGTCTCTGCTTCCCCAGTGCTGGGATTAAAAGTGTACAAGACTACACCAGCTTGCTTTCTTAAGCTTTTTATTTATTTATTTGTATGTGTAAGGGTGTTTTGTCTGTATGCTTGCAAGTGCAGCACATGTGTGCCTGGGGTCCTCTGAGGACAGAATAGGGTATTAGATCCCCTGAGCCTGCAGTTATAGGCAGTTGTGAGCTGTCATGTGGGTGCTGGATCCTCTGGAAGAGCAGCAAGCACTCTTAACCACTGAGCCATCTCTTTAGGCCCAAAACTTGGTTTTATTGGTTAATTTGTAACTTCTTCATACATAAAGTTGGGGCTTTTATTCTGACAACGGTTATGTTTTTCACCTATTTGTTTTTCTGTATAAAGCAATCTAGTGGTAGTTACAGGAGAAAAATTACATACAAGAATATGAAACCTGGTATTTAAATTTTAAATGGCCTTTTCTTTTCAGACAGAGTCTAAGTAGCCCTGGCTGGCCTGGAACTCACTATGTAGACAGGCTGGTCTCAAACTCACAGAGAGCCACCTTCAACTGCCTCGCAGGTGCTGAAATTAAAGTTAGGTGCCACTACACACAGAAAAATGATTAAAAAAACAAAACAAAAACTTGATATGATGAATTCATAAAGTACAAGCAATATTGGCTTCTAATCACTGTCTTGGTCAGTGTTATATTGCTATGAAGAGGCATCATGTCCAAGGCAACTCTTATAAAAGAAAGTGTCTAATTCGGGCTTGATTACCATTTCAGCGGGTTAATCCATTATCAACATAGCAGCAGGCATGGCAGGACATGGTGCAGGAGAAGTAGCTGAGAGTTCTAAATCCTGATCCACAGGCAGCAAGAAGAGAGAGTGAGTCACTGGGTCTGGCTTGGGCTTTTGAAACCTCAAAGCCCACCCCCAGTGATACACTTCCTCCAACAAGGCCACACCTCCTAATCCTCATAATCTTTTCAAATAGTTCCACTCCCTGGTGACCAAACTTTCAAATATATGAGCCTATAGGGGCCATTCTTATTCAAACCACCACAATCAGGTAGTGGCACACGCCTTTAATCTCAGCACTCAGGAAGCAGAGGCAGACGAATCTCAGTGAGTTTGAGGCCAGCCTGGTCTACAAAGCGAGTTCCAGGACAGCCAGGACTGTCCCAAAGAGAAACCCTGTCTCAAAAAACAAAACCAAAACAAAATAAAACTACCACAAACACCTTGAAGTTTTTATTATTTCTTAAATGTTAAATATTAAAATTCCCTCTATTTGTATATTTTAACCTATTCTATTTCATCATCTAGGAAGAGATAAGAAAAGAGTGGATGTTCAATTTGGTGGGCAAAGAAACCTTCTATGTTGGAGCTGCAAAGACCAAAGCCACCATACATATACTTTCTGACGAAGGTTATGTTTTTAAATATATCCTGGAAATTGAGAGGAAAAGCTTCATAAAGTATGTAGAGAACAGATCAAAAACCACCATCACCTGGGTACTGCACTTGGATGGCGAGACCTTTAGAATTGTTTTGGGTGAGTCGGGGCTGTTCCTGCAGAATGGGTTGGATTTTTTAAAGGAATTATTTACTTATGCATACAGTGTGGTTTATACAGCCAGTGAGACACCATTGGGAGAAAACTGATTTTTTTTCTTTGCAAGCAGTTGTTAGTTGGAAATCACTTCCTGTTTGGGGATGGGAGATTGTGTCCACTTCCCCCTCTCAGTTCTGTAACCCCAACTGGCTTGAACCTATGCAGGCCATATTAGATTTTTATAGTGACTATTTAATTATTCTCTCCATAGAGTTAAGTGGGAAATTTGAATAGGAGAAAGAACGCATGAGCTCTCTTTTTCTCATGCCTCCTCTCCATGTGAGCAGATTGTCATTCAATATTCAATTAACCCTCAAGGTTTTTGTTTTGCTTTATTTGTCAGGAGAATGATTTATCTTTACATAAACATGTGAAGAATTTTATTTCTCTCGTTATGCTAAGGGCTAGTTCAAAGGAGAATTTCAAAACAAAACATAAAGCTGAAGATGTAGGCCAGTGGTATAGCACCTGCCAAGTATGTGCAAGGCCCTGGGTTTGGTCCCCAGTTCCAAGATGAAAGCAAAAGCAAAAGCATACCCTCAAAAAACAAGCAAACTGGAAAAAAAAATGGAACAAAACCCAACATATACACATAGACAGTAATACTTACATACATGTGTGCACATGCAATTAGTACTTATATACTTGGGTGCTGAGAAATGTTGAAATGGATTTGCAAATAGATGGAAAACTATTTGATGTCGACAGAGACGTAAGCCACTTCCAGATGAGATTCATTGGTGTGTCTATGGACAAGAGCTGGTTTCAGTACTACCATTATTATAAAACTGTGAACCATCTCAAAGCTCCAAGGTGGAGGCAGCAGTAAATGGGCACTAACACACAACAGCAGGAACTGGGAGAGATGGCTCAGCAGTCAAGAGCACACACTGCTCTCTCAGAGCTCAGATCCCAGCACCCACATGCGGTGGCTCGAAGCCACCTGTACCTCTACTCCAGGGATTTGCCACCCTCATCTGCCTTCCCAGGGTACTTGCACTTGGCGTGTGCACATGCTCAAAAACAAATGCATACAAATATGCATCATGAAAAAGAATTTTAAATCTTAAAAAAAATAACAGTCAGGCCTGGTGGTGCATACCTTTAATCCCAGCACTCAGGAGGCAGAGCCAGGTGGATCTCTGTGAGTTCGAGGCCAGCCTGGGCTACAGAGCGAGATCCAGGACAGGCCTCAAACCCTGTCTCAAAAAACAAAAAGCAGGGCTGGAGAGATGGCTCAGTGGTTAAGAGCACCAACTGCTCTTCCAGAGGTCCTGAGTTCAATTCCCAGCAACCACATGGTGGCTCACAACCACTTGTAATGAGATCTGGTGCCCTCTTCCGACCTGCAGGGACACATGCAGGCAGAACACTGTATACATAATAAATAAATAAATCTTTAAAAAAAATTAGAAATTTAAGGTTTATTAATAAGGTAAGTTTTTTTTTTGTAGGTAATGAATATATGGTTTCATTGGATGAAAACCGTCAATTCCAGCTAAAGGAGATTTTTATTTTAATGTTATCCTATTTTTTTTTCTGTTGTAATAAAAACTGTGACTCAAAGCAATATGAGGAAGAAAGGACTTCTTTTAGCTTACAGGTTACATTCCATCTTTAGAAAAGTCATGCCAGGAACTCAGGAATCCGGAGGCAGGAATTACAAAGGAACCCTGCTTACAGGCTTGCTCTCTCAGCTCCCTTTTTTCCAAATCCATCCCAAATCAAGACAATCTGTCACAGGCATGGCCACAGGCCAGTTTGATCCAAGAAATTCTTTCACTGAGGCTCCCTCAGTTGAGTAGAGGTTGTGTCAAGTTGACAGCTGACGTTAACTAGGACAAATGTATATGTGTCATCTATATTGTGTGTATGATGTATGTGTAGTACATGTACATGGGCACAGTGTGTGTGAGCACGCTAAGGTGCTATGTAGAGGTCAGGAGAACCTCAGGTGTTGGTCCTGGCCTTCCATCTTGTTTGAAACAGCATCTCTATTGGTTGCTACTAATACAACAGGCTAGCTAGTCCACAAGCCTTAGGGGATTCTCCTGGCTCCAACTCCCACCTCACCATAGGAGGATGGAGACTACAGGCCCAAGATCCCCATCAGAGCTTTGTGTGGGTTCCAGGAATTCCAGCTCAAGTTCCTGTGTTTGCATGGTGGTTGTTTTATCCACCGATCCATCTCTCCTACCCAGTAGGTTTTTTAAACTAGCCTCCTCACTTCCAGTTAGCCTTACTACTCCCTGCTCCTATCACTAATCAAATTTATTATGATCGTATTAATTCTCTGATTTATTTATTTAGATAATATTTATTAACTATCTTAAAAATAGCAGTTAGTGTAGCAGTACCAGGTACTGAGAATACATATATGTCCATGCCTTTCCATTCTACTGTTAAATTGAATGCTAGTAAATAACTTTTATTTATTGATTCTTAAAAACCTTTAGATTAGCATACAAAATATTAGATATTATGGCAATTTTGAACAAAGTGGTTTTTTGTTTGTTTTGTTTTTTGTCTTTTCAGACAGGGTTTCTCTGTGTAACAGCCCTGGCTGTCCTGGAACTCACTTTGTAGACCAGGCTGGCCTCAAACTCACAGAGATCCACCTGCCTCTGCCTCCCAACTGCTGGGATTAAAGGCATGCATCACTACCATCTGGCTGAATAAAGTGACTTTTTGTTTTGTTTTTTGTTTTTTGGGTTTTTTTTCCGAGACAAGGTTTGTCTGTGTAGCTTTGCACCTTTCCTGGAACTCACTTGGTAGCCCAGGCTGGCCTCGAACTCACAGAGATCCACCTGGCTCTGCCTCCCAAGTGCTGGGATTAAAGGTGTATGCCACCACTGCCCGGCTAAAGTGACTTTTTAAAAAGTTTTGTTTTTATTTTATGTGTATGTGTGAGTCTCTACATGTATGAATGTGTGTTACTTGCATGCCTGGTGCCTGTAGAGACCAGAAGAGGACACCAGATCTCCTGGAACTAGAGTTATAAGCCACTACATGCATGCTGGGAAATAAACCTGGGTCCTCCACAATAACATCAAGTATTCTTAACTGCTGAGCCTTCTCTTCAGTGCCCAACCCCTACCCCTTTGAGGCAGGGTCCCACTGTACAGTCCTGACTGACTTCAAACTCATGGAGATTTAAGAGATTAGAACCTGTCTCTGCTCCCAAGTGCTGAGATTAAAGACATGCATTAACAAAGCAGCTTTTTTTTTTTTTAATGAAAAAAGTTTATCAAGCCAGGAATGGCAGCTCATGCCTATAATCATACTTCTCAAGAGGTTGAAGCAGAAGTATTGGCTGCAAGTTCGAGGTCAGCTTGATCTACATAGTGAGCTCCAGGGCAGCCTGTACTACAGAGTAAGACAGAGGTGGGGTGAGGGGAGGGGGAAGGGGAACGGAGGGGAGAGGAGAAGAGGAGAAGAGAGGAGAGGAGAGGAGAGGAGAGGAGAGGAGAGGAGAGGAGAGGAGAGGAGAGGAGAGGATGCCCAGAAATGTAGTTCATTTGATAGAGTGCTTGTCTAGAATTCAGGAAGCCCGAGTTCTACCACTACACACAATAAACTGGTTTATTATGGCACATGACTGTAATCCCAGAGAGGTAAAGGCAGGAGGATCTGAATTTCAAAGTCATCCTCCAGCCCCTGCCTCCTGAGTGCTGGAGTTACAGGCATGTTCCATCATGCCTAGGTATTTCTTTTCTTATTTAAGGTAAATAGTTCCAGGGGGATCTGGCACCCTCTTCTGGCCTCTGTGGGCACTTGGCACACATGTGGTACACATACATGCAAGCAAAACACCCATTCACATACAAATGAAAACAAATACAACAGGTCCACTTTGACTGTAGAATTATGACATTTAACTGTTGTTACTTTTACAGAAAAAAACAGTATGAATGTGTGGTGCAACGGTGAAGTAATAGAGTCAGCGGTAAGTCAGCCTTTGGTTACTCCTACAGCACGTGTAGCCTAGGCTCACCTCCAACTCAGTCCTCTCCCCGCAGCCTACTCAACATCGGGGACGCGAGTGTGAACCACCACAACCAAGTTCTAATTCTGGTGATTTCCTAGTTAACCAAGGTAATCTTAGTAAAACCAAAAATCATAGGAATTGCTTTTGACTCTAAGTTCTGAACATCTTTTCCAGACAGTCCCTGGGGCAGAGAGAGTTTGGGGACCATCCGCAGTCTGAGCTGGCACAGCCACACACTCCACACCTTGTCCCTCCTGGCTAGGCTTTTATCCTGAGAAGTGTTCACATGAAAAGGTTCCTTCCCCCAAGAGCTGCTGTCCTCCTGTGTTTGTTCCTCTAGAAATCATGTGCAGCAGTCCCCTGGGAGCTGATGATAGGCTTTCAACCCTCTGTGCTGCTGGTGCTGCTGACCGCAGATAACACTTGGATAGGAAGGCTTTGCACACATCCTCAAAGTGCATGGTACTTTCCAAAAAGTGAGGGGTTTTTTTTGTTGTTTTGTTTTGTTTTAAAGAAGTAGTGATGTACACAGTGTCAGATGTCATGGAGGTAGACTACAAAGGGCACTGTCACAAATGCCAGAAGACGCGTGGAATTTGTAGACCAGTGTTGTCAAGGTAGGAGGAAAGAGGCTTCCTGCTCATGGAGGCCAAGCGTCCCGCAAAAGCCATCCAGGCTCCAGTGTACTCAGCTTTGCTGTCAGGGGCCAGCATCCTTGTGACCTGGAGTGAAGTGAATTTCAAGCAGAAATGAATTAACATGGTGGCCCAGGGAATGCGGGACCAGGAGCTGAAGTCACTGAGAGGAGGTTCCCTGTGTCTTGAGGTCTTCCGGCCACACAGGAAGTGCTGTCCTTGCTGCTCAGGTTTGTGCTCCAGGGAGGAACACCAGGGCTGAACGTGGTGGGCAGCTAGCTTTCTTCTCTGCTCACATTCTCTCTCGTCACATGGTGTGGTTGTTCCCACTACGGGTGTAGGAAGGAGAGTTAAGGTGCTGAGAGGAAAGGTTGTTTGGGGGGAACTACTCAGCTGATCACTTCGAATCTACTGGATCTCGTGATTCTCTGTCCCTGAGGAGGTAGGAATCCACAGTCACAAAGGTGGATGCCTTTTCATTTCTTAAGCCTGGCAGGTGTGACCTGGTCTCTTGGGCTTTATCTCCAGAACTTAAGCCCTTCCCCTGAATAAACCTGCTTGAGTGAAGCTTTGTTCATGCAGAGGTGCAGGGAGCTCTCCAGGCCCATATGGCCCCTGTAGAAGAGGGGTCATTACCATGCATGTGGGCAGGTACCTACTGTGGGCCTACAATAGACCTGTGATCCTTCTTCTCCATGCCTCCCCTGGAAGTCTCTGGATAGTCAGCACTTTGCAACCACATCTCCTCCACCCTCGAGGAATTCCCTGGGACAACTGAAAAGAATGTGGTTTTATGGGATTAAGAAATGGCAATGGTCGAGAGACAGCCCGAACTGACCTACTCTGGTGATGGGATGGCCAAACACCCTAATTGTTGTGCTAGAAACCTCATCCAACTACTGAGGGATCTGGATGCAGAGATCCATGACTAGGCCCCGGGTGGATCTCTGGGAGTCCAATTAGCGAGAATGAGGAGGGTTTATATGAGTGAGAATTGTTGAGACCAAGGTTGGATAAAGCACAGGGACAAACAGCCAAATGAATGGAAACACATGAACTATGAACCAATGGCTGAGGGGTCCCCACTGGATCAGGCCCTCTGAATGGGTGAGACAGTTGATTGGCTTGATCTGTTTGGGAGGCATCCAGGCAGTGGGACCAGATCTTGTGCTCATTGCATGAGTTGGCTGTTTGAAACCTGGGGCCTATGCAGGATTGTTTGGCTCGGCCTGGGAGGAGGGGACTAGACCTACCTGGACTGAGTCTACCAGGTTGACCTCAGTCTGTGGGGAAGGCTTTGCCCTGGAGGAGATGGGAATGGGGGGGGGGGGGGGTTGGGGGGAAGGTGAGGGGGACGGGAGGGGGGAGAACAAGGGAATCCGTGGCTGATATGTAGAACTGAATTGTATTGCAAAATAAATTAAAAAAAAAAAGTCAAAAAAAAAAAAAGAATGTGTTTTTAAGGGCTGGAAGTGTTGTTCAGTGCTTGAGAAAAGTACTCACCTAATACATGGAAGCTTCAGGGTTCCCTACCTACCATTGAGGGGAAAGTGGTTTTAAATACGGTAAAAATCATGTTCACCCCTATATGTAGCTGGAGAGTTTCTCTCTGGGTCCCGCCAAGCCCTGGCAGTCCTGCAGCCCACTTATAAAATAAACACATAGACTTTTATATTATTTAAACTGTTTGGCCTAATGGCTCAGGCTTCTAGCTAGCTGTTCTTATATCTTAAATCAACCCATTTCTATAAATCTATACCTTGCCACATGGCTCATGGCTTACCAGTATCTTACATGTTGGTACTCATGCCGGCAGCGGCTGGCAGCGTCTCCTCACTCAGCCTTCCTGTCCCCAGAATTCTCTTCTCTGCTTGTCCCGCCTGTACTTCCTGCCTGGCTACTGGCCAATCAGCATTTTATTTTTAGAGAGCGATATCCACAGCACCTATGTCTTTGTTCCATAGGAACTGACAGGAAACCGGTGTGGAAAACAGTCCTTCGTAATCCGATTGTCTCTGTCTTGTGACTATAGTCCAGTTGAAGAGCAGAGTGGATCGTGAGCTAGCCCAGCAGCCTGCCCCAGTCTGTGTATACCTGCAACAGAGTGCTCAGGTTCCCTGAGTGAGCTAGCCCAGCAGCCTGTCCCAGTCCGTACACACCTGCAACAAAGTGCCCCCTACCAGTAGCACCAAAATTGTGCTTGTCAAGTAGCCAAGAAGCAACTTACCAGGATTGTGTGACTAACCCTTGTTCTGTCTTCCAAAAGCTTTTCCCAAGCCTCAGTATAAACGTGGTAGGGATCTCTGCACCCAAAGATGTGCCTGGGTCAGTGTTCAGTACATCTCCCTTCCCTTCAAGAGCTCTAGCTGCTTGGCCTCCATGATGCTCATAGTCAAGGGGTGTGGATGGAGGTGGAGGAGGGTGCGTGTGTATTTTCTGTTTGATTTTTCAGTGCTGAGACCAAACCCAGTGTGTTATACACGCTAAGTGAGCTCCCTAGCCTGTGCACAGACAAGTGTTAAGGCATTGATCATGGTTTCCTTGAATTCTGTCTATCCTCTAAGGCCTCTTCAACCTAATGATTCAGTCCTTTAATACACTTCCTCAAGGTGTGCTGACCCCCAATTGTAGAATTATTTTTGTTGCTACGTCATAACTGTAATTTTGCTACTGCGTAATTTCTGTGTTTTCCATAATGCATATCTCTGTGTTTTCCAAGAGTCTTAGGCAACACCCATGAAAAGAGTTGTTCAACCCCTTCCCACTGGGTCACAACCCATAGGTTGAGAACCACTACTCTAAGGCTCTTCTTCCCTCTTCTGTTTTTTCCCATCTTCTTTCTGTAGATTCGTGCTGTTGAGCAGAAATAGAATGTAAACCATGAGTATTGAGTCTCCTGTGCGATTTTAACATTTTGGCAGGCATGCTAAAAAAAAAAATTAAAGTTAATTAATCTTAATGTTTAATTTAAATCAATTTATCAAGATTATTAAGCCAAGGGTGGAGGCTCATAACTGCAAACCCAGCATTTGGCTGGGAGAACACTGGGGCACTGAGGCAGGAAGATAACCATGAGTTCCAGGGCATATATAGTTAATTATATGTCAGCCTGGGCCACAAAATAAGATTCTATTTCAAAAAACAAAAAGAAGGAATTAAAAGTTAACATGTAATCAACAAAGGAAGTTATTAGTGAGTTATGTACATTCATAGGTTCACATTGGCTTTCAGATCAGGTATATATTTTAAACTTAGGGTATGGATTTCATTTCTAAGTGGACACATTTCAAGTGCTCAATAGATTTAGTGGTGTCCGGTTTTTGTTACTAAGCGTGTATTTTATTATAAACCACCTTATATCCCCAAAGGAAATGGAATTTGGAACTGGTTGAGAGTAATCTGCAACAAGAATTGCTAAACGGTCTTATTAATAAAAAACCCGGAACCAGATATTGGGGTGAAAGCTGAAAGATCAGAGGGATAAAACAAGCCAGCCACAAGTTCTTACCACTAGGAAATCCTCAGCCCAAGAGAGAGCTACTTCCTGTATACTCACGCTTATATAGCTTTCTGTGCCCTGCCCTCTTACTTCCTCTCTCCACCTAGATACATCACTTTCTCTTTCTGCCCAGCTCTATCACTTCCTATGTGTCTGTATAGACCTCCAGACCTCTATGGTTAACTAGTGCTGGGATTAAAGGCGTGTGCTACCACTGCCTGACCTCTACGTTTAATCTAGTGGCTGGCTTTTTCCTCTGATCCCCAGGCAAGCTTTATTTGTTAGAACACAAATAAAATATCACCACAGTAGTCTCCTTGCAGAGTGGAACTTTCAAGTCATCTACCTCAGTTTTCTCATCTGTCAAGTAGGCATAATAAGAGTACTTCTATCACAGTCATTGTAATGATAGAATTAAGTGGAGGCAAGAGGATCAGGAGATTGAGGTCAGTGAGTTCTGGCTTAACCTAAACTTGCTTACAGAGTAAGACCCTGTTTCAAAATCAAAACAATTAATGAATACAAGGAAAAAAAGGAACTCTCAATTTATAACAGAATCATAAAGGTGTATAAACACAAGTTTGATTGTTTGTTTTTTTGTTTTTTTGTTTTTCGAGACAGGGTTTCTCTGTGTAGCTCTGCACCATTCCTGGATCTCGCTCTGTAGACCAGGCTGGCCTTGAACTCACAAAGATCCACCTGCCTCTGCCTCCCGAGTGCTGGGATTAAAGGCGTGCGCCACCACCGCCCGGCTCTAAACACAAGTTTGAAATGCTGAGTCTGTAATGCTTAACGTTTTACCAACATATTATCTCATTATACCACTAGTCCATTTTAGATGGTGCTAGTGCCCTGGCAAAGAGATTTCTGGAACACTGATGCTTCCTCCCTTGCTGTCCTAGGGCGAGTTTGTAGATGATGGGACTGAAACACACTTCAGTGTTGGGAGCCATGACTGTTACATAAAGGCCATCAGCAGCGGGAAGAGGAGAGAAGGGATCATCCATACCCTCTTTGTGGATAACAGGGAGATCCCAGAGAGCCTTCAGTGACTGCTCGTTAATGAGTTCTGAGCTGAAGAGGAGACATCAGGACTTGCTAATGGCTTTGGTAATTAAATGTGTTCACTCTGTACATACTGGTAGATTGTCTGCAATGTTTTTACTTTTATCTTTTGTTACTTGAAACTGTAATATTCCAATGGTCAGAAAAAAAATTATGTGGATCTTAAAAGTTACAGTTTTAAAGTTCTTACTTACATTGTATTTGAGTGCATGCTTGCATGCCACAATGCATATGTGGAGGTGAGAGAAGAGCTTTCTGGAGCTGATGTTCTCCTCCGCCATGTGGGTTCTGAGGGTTGAACTTAGGTTGTCAGCCTTGGCAGCAAGCTTCCACTGAGCCTTCTTGCTGCCCCAGAACTCATCTTTTAAGTGATGTGAAAATGCTTTAAATTTAAATGGAAGATAATGTAGAGACCCAAATCAAGGACATTGTACGTCAATAATCTTCTCTGCAGTGCAGTGTTGTATCCCATGTGTTTCTACAAATAAGCATGTCTTCATTTTTTTTTTCTCCTGTGCAGGTCGGTTGCCTCTACATTAAAGCAGGTGGTTGATAATGATACATCCAGGGTTCTGTTATTGTTGTTTTGTTTGTTTACTGATTTCATCACCTTCCCACCAAGAGACTTGGTTTCACAGGGACCACGTCAGACATAAAGAAAATAGCTTTACTGCAAGAACGCCAGGCTGCATCAAACCGGATGCATCTTCAGGCAAGGTTTCAAAGTCAGCACTTACCCACCTGTCAGCTCAGCACGAGAGTGGGTGTCTCTGTGGCAGAGTGGAGCCCCCCAAGGCAAACTCACGAAGAGGTAGCATGGTTAGCGCTCCAGCATGGTTTGTTTCCCTCCCGATCTTTCTAAGTCTTTCCAGTGCTTGGGAGCTGAAACAAGGGGCTTTGTTCTTGAGTCTGCTCAGAGGAGAAACCACCCACAAGAGCACTTAGCTTGTCGACAGAGGCTCTGAACTCTGCAGAGCGGTGTGTGAGAGCCTGACCTGAATGAAGTGGACCGCATGCACCCCCTTTGTATGACCTCAGTATTGCTGGGTTGAAGAATCACTGCTTCTTGCTTAGTGGGTTATTTTTATTGCCTATTTCTCCCAGTTTCATGCTCAAAGCACTGAAAATTTCAAGTGGAGTCTATGGAATTAGACTTCAGATGTTGTAGTTGTTTTGTTTTTTAAAGTAATTGCTGTACCAATTTTTAAAATTCTTTCATAGCCCCATTTGAGTGTTTTTTAAACTAAATTTACATGGCTCCCATGAAACACCCTTTGCCTGTGGAAGTCACATATAGGAGCATGAGATTCTTCATACACACTTCAACCAAAGCAACCTTAAACAATTTATATAGGGATTTAAGAAGCAGAGTCACAGCTGGGAGGGATGGCACCTTTGATCCCAGGACCCAGGAGGCAGAGGCATGTGGGTCTCAGTGAGTTTGAGGCCAGCCTGGTTTATATAGCAAGTTCTAGGCCAGTCAGGACTGCACAGTGAGACCCTGTCTCAAAAACAAACAAAAAAGGTGGCAGAGGAGGAGAAGATGAAAAAGAAGGAAGTAGAGGAGGACGAGGGACTTGGGAAGAGCAGGGAGTCAGCTGGGGTGGCAGGGTGTGGGGGTGGAACAGAGAAATGGGAGAAACAACTGAGAACAAGGTATAATGGCATTTGTGTGTAAAAATGCCATAATAAAACTCATCACTTCCTATGCTCATTAAAAAGAGTTCAGTCAGCAACTCTGGCCACATTCCAGGTACTCAACAGTCACCTGTGGCCGGTGGCTATTGCTGTGGATGATGCAGCTGCAGACAATGTCCATCACCACCCCAAGTTCTGCTGGACAGCACCTGTCCAGACACCGCCCCAGGCTTCGGGAGTTGCTCAGTAGTAGCCTAGGAAGGGCTGAAACTCAGGGTTTCCAGACATGACCACCCACTTTGTAATGAACTGACATCGATCCAAGAGAGACTGGCAGACATGAGGCAGACCCAAGTTCCAACACCAGGAAAGAGGAACCGAGGGTCAGGAGACAAGGGAGGGTGATACGGCTCGTGCAGGCCTAAGCCAAGGAGCCAGCACACCTGACCAGAGGGACACGTGAAGAGCCTTCACCCCTGGTTTTCTCTAACTTCATTTATTTTGATGTCTTCACAATGATCTGCTCAAAATACTACCTGTACCAAAATCTTTTCTTCTGTGTGTGTGTGTGTGTGTGTGTGTGTGTGTGTGTGTGTGTGTGTGTGTGTGTGTTGCTGGGCATTCAGCATATGACATCATGCAATTATGTATACAAGGCAAGCATCCTACCAATTATCATATCCCCAGTCCCTACGAAAACTTTTGTGAGTGACAGAGTCTCACCACACCTGAGATGACCCTAAATTCTTGGACCTCCAACCTCTGCCTCCCCAGGACTGGGTTGACAGGTGTGGAGCACCACACCTGCATCAAAACATTCATAAAAATCATCAGGGCTGTGGAGATGTCTCAGTTAGTTAAAGTGTTGGCTTTGCATTCAGGGGGACCCGTGTTCAATCCCCAAGAACTCACAGGAAAAAAAATCAGTGTATTAGTTAGGTTTCTCTAAAGGAACAGAGCTGATTGAATTATATATATATAACAAAAAGAGATTTATTAGACTGTTTCACAGGATGTGGTCTGGGAGGTCTAGTGATGGCTGACTACAGAAAGGCTTAGAATTCCAAGGCTGTTTGGTCCACAAAGCTGAATGTCTCTGCTTCCTCAGTTGGACACTAATCTTGGAGGATTCCTGGAGAGCTGCTGGTCTTCAGTCTGTGTTGTGAGCCTGGAGAAGCTTTATTTAATGCTGGCCACAGAGACAGGAGAGATGAACTTGTCAGAGAAAGGGAGAACAGCACTTGGTGTCCTTGTATATGGGCTGTCACCAGAAAGCATGGCCCAGATTTAGGATGAGTCTTCTGCTTCAACTAATCTGATTAAGAAAATCCCTCAGGCTGGAGAGATGGCTCAGCAGGTAAGAGCACTAACTGCTCTTCCAGAGGACCTGAGTTCAATTCCTAGCCACCACATGGTGGCTCACAACCATCTATAATAGGATCTGATGGCCACTTCTGGTGTGCATGAAGACAGAGCACTCATGCATAAAATACATAAATAAATAAATATTTATTTTAAAAAAGTGTAAGTTGTTAAGAAAGAAAGAAAGGAAGGAAGGAAGGAAGGAAGGAAGGAAGGAAGGAAGAAAGAAAGAAAGAAAGAAAGAAAGAAAGAAAGAAAGAAAGAAAGAAAGAAAGAAAGAAAGAAGAAAGAAAATTCCTCATTGCTGGGTGCGGTGGTGTATGCCTTTAGTCCCAGGCAGAGGCAGGCAGATATCTGTGAGTTCTAGGACAGCCAGGGCTATACAGTGAGACCCTGTCTCAAAATCTTAAAATAAAAAAATTTTTAAAAAGATGGTTGGGGAAGAAAAAGAAAAGGAAAGAACATCCCTCACAGGTGTGCCCAGCAGTCAAGTTGACAACTAAAATTAGCCATCACCGTCAGTGTGCTGGCACATTTGAAATCCCAGGGCTGGAGAGATGGAGACAGGAAGTTCCCTGGAGCTCATTAGCCAGCCAATCTAACCTAACTGATGAGCTCTGGGGCAATGAGACACCCAGTCTCAAGGGAGGCAGACAGCGTTCCTGGGGATGACACCTGAGCTTATCTTCTGACCTTCACACACATGCACACACACACACACACACACACACACACACACACACACACACTTGACCATGCACACTCACATACTTTCTCTCATACTAGAAACATCCATGTTTACCAAGCTGAGCATCATGGCACATGCCTATAACCCCAGTACTCCAGAGGTAGAGGCAGGAGGATCAGGAGTCAAAGGTTATCCTTGGCTAGATATTAAATTTAAGGACAGCCTGGGTTACGTGTGAACCTGCCTCTAACAAACAAATTTACTAAGAAACCCAACTGCTATTCTCTTTGCTTTGCTGCCCCTGGAAACCAGGAGAAGACAAAGTTCAAAGCCAAGGGGCATCACACTCAGCTGCATTTGTTTTCAAGCCTTTGGATATTGTGATTTGTTTACATTTTTTCTTTGAATGGCCGTATTTTATCTGGTACAAAAGTGTCTTGCATCACATCCAAAACAATTAAAAAAAAATACAAAAACATTTTGTGTTGAGCTCAAGCTATTAGAATCAAAGCCTGGGTTTCTCCCCCCTCGTCTCATCAACTCAGCACACAGCAGGAGGACAGTTTGATTACATCTTCCTGTGATCACACTGTGGGAATGTAGTTTTAACTGGTGACTCATGTTTCAGTTTTGTTTTTAATGAAAAGCAGCGTGTTGGTGTGGATTCAGTATACTGGGCCTGAAATCTGTCACAGCATGAATTCAAAGATAATGAAATTGTAGACATGCCATACAAAAACCTAAAGTCTAGTTGTATAATCCGAGCACCAGGATTGCTACAAATTCAAAGCCAGCTACATAGTGAGATCGTCTCTCAAAATACCCACAACTACAACAAAAACAACTAGTTTTCAAAATGATAATGTCCTCAAAGAGGATTAAAACTCCCAGTTGACAGCCTGGAATGTGTGTGGCTCAGTTGGTTAAATGTTTGCCTAGCTTGCACAAAGCTCTAGTGTTCAGTCCTCAGCACCACATAAAAACATGCCTATAATCCAGGACTCAGTGGGTGAGAGCAGGGGAATCATAAGTTCAAGGTCACCCTTAACTATAGAAGGAGTCCAAGGCCAGTTTAGGTTACATAAGAACCTGTCTCAAAAAGCAAACAAAAAATAATTAAATGAAGTAAAAAAAAAAAAAGTCAACTGATAAAGCAGATGACGAAGTCAGCAACGTGGATGAGAGTTTCAGTAGCATGAACAAAAATAAAATCCATATTTTGAAAAACAAAATACATTTGGAAGAAAAAGCCTTCATCAAATAAAAACAAAGTGGCAAGCATCACCAGTGGGCTAGACCAAGCAGAGGAATGCAGATTAGAGATAGAGGATGAAATGAGAAAATATTATATGGAGACAAATCGTGGGGGAAAAGTAAACAAATATGAGCATATCTTTCAAAACCCTGGGTGTGATGATACCCACACGGGAGGCCTTGGACCAAGGTGCCCTGTG